TAGAAACTAGATACAGAAGGGGTAGGAGAGAGAGAGAGAGAGAGAGAGAAATCAGAGATGTTAGGGGGCTTACAAGTTATGAAACTAATAAAGGAGGGGTTAGAGAGAGTTATTTTGGGAACTCACAAGTAATGAAAGCGAAACATGGGGGTCCTGGAATTGGATTTAAGGTTCATTAGCGTTCACGTGCACCGCTGCGTCCTACTCCTAGATGCTCTCCTGCGAAGATTTAGGTATGTACTAATTGCAGCAGCAAGACCACGTTCGAGCCACCATGCGCACCACCACGCGTGCGTTTCTGAGTGAATGTGACTGTGACTGTGAATGTTACAAAGGGAAGAGAGAGAGGTGGGAGTAGAAAGTGCAAATGCTTTTGTTGTGATAGAGCGGTGGGAACGAGCACAATAGAGACACAGGATGTGATTACCAAGGAGAGAGAGAGAGAAGCGGGGACTACCAAAGATACTAAATATTAGGCCAAAGATATAATATTATGCCAAAATATTTTGTACTCCCGCCGGAGTACAGTATTCATCAATGTTTTCGGATTCGTTTCGGAGTCTTCCTCAGGTTGATGAAAAAAATGAAGCTATTCAGTGCTTCGGCCGATTCGAAAGAAGACTTTGGATTTTTTTTTAATTTGGTATAAATAAATTAAATATTTATATATAGAATATATATAAGTAATGAAAAAAAATAAAAATAAAAAATATATATATATTAAAAAATACATTTATAGAGCTATTTCTTTGATTGCCATAGCATATCCAAAGCAAACCCGAAGTGGTTCGAATTTGACCGAAACAGCTCAAAACGGTCCGAATCTGGCCAAAGCAAAACGAATTTGATAACATTGATAGTCATTACTCCTATGATATAATATATGCTGAAACTACCTTTTTAGATTTCAAATTTTGGATACGTAATTTATACGGGCCATAAAGTAATTTTAATAATAAAGTAAAATAAATCTCCATATACTAAAAATAATAATGCTTCAAGATTGAATAGAGGCTGTTCAATTTTTTAAGAACTAGATATGAGTTTCACATAACTCAAAATTCAAAGTTTTATTTTAAAAATAATCGTCTAGTAGTTCTTACGTGGCTCTCAAAGTTTTAGAATAACATAATATTTTCAAATAGGTGTTTGCGTGAGGGAGTAGCTACATAGTATGATCCTACAAAACCATATAGTATAGGTGCTAAGGTTGGTGAAGCAACACTTGCCCCTAATCCCTCACTCAAACGATGGGAGCATTTTTTCAATATAAAATTTTTGGAAACCACCTAAGAATTACTAAATGATTTTTTTCAAAAAAAATTGAATTTTGACTTTTTATAACATGTAGATCTCGCGCTTCAAAAATTGGACGGTCTATGTTCAATCTTGCTATATATATTGTAGGAAAAATCTTGGGTGAACCTACTAGATCATGGAATAGTATAAACCCAACAGGTCAGATTGAATCTGGACCGATCTGATGATCACGGATATCCGATAGTGTTTGAATTTTAATTTTTTTTCTACAAATCTAAATCACTTGAACTTTGGAGCATGTGTACATAAAAATTAGGTGAATCTTCAAAAAATATCAAAAAAATATTTTACATGAAATAAATTGATCAAAATACCCTCGAAAAATTTTGATGGTATTTTGGTCGATTTTTTTCGTAAACTATTTTTTTATATAATTTTAATAGGTGCGGCTTGATGAGAAGAATACACGCCTAAAATTTCAAATGATTTGGATTTGTAGAAAAAAAAATTAAAATTCAAACACTACTAGACATCCGTGTTCGTCAGGTTGGCCTAGAGTTAAAAGGGAAGACTTACTTATTTTGACAGGTTTATCAAACTGTTTTCCTAGTTTTTTTTTTAAGTTTATAACTTGCACTATTTACTCTAACTTTTAGAGACATGTTTTTTAGGGTGTATTTTACACGCGGGATTATATATTACAAGGCTACTTATCTTTGGTACAAGGAGGTCACAACCACATATAGAAATTCAAAGGTGGGGAGTGTCACAAAAATTGAGAATTTTTATTTTAGACTTTGATCTTTGACAGTGACTCAACTTCATGAACTCAAATTTATATCCAAATGCGAAATGTGATTGTAATCCTCTTGTATCAAAGTTAAATTCATCTAATTGCATATTTTCCTCTTTTCGGGATTGTATACCATAAGATTATTTATCTTTGTTACAATGAGCTCACAAATGCTAATAACCATTAGATATAAAATTAAGTGAATCTAGTCAATGACACATTCATAATCATCTTATTTAAAATGCCACAGACAAAAATGATTGTGACCTCCTTGTATTAAAACTAAATAATGCCTTCATATACTTTCCATTTTCTTTTATTTATCATGTAATGTGTATAAGGTTAGCGTATTTTTGGTGCGAGCATGGTCCCCCTATTTAAAAGATTTCCTATTCCTTTGGGTAAACTATATGTTAGGGATATTATTTGGAGGTCAAATTTTGGATATATAATACCTACCACATATATATTAGTCTTAGTAAAACAAAGGGAAAATTATAAAAAAAAAAACCCAAGACCACACTTTTTATGCAACTTACCCTAACTTACTTTTAATGCAAATACCTCCAAGGGAAAAAATACATTATTTTAGACGAAAATGCCCTTCTTGTACACAAAATCATTTTGGACAGATTTGATGTTGACTTTTGGACCCAATAGCACATTGCTAGAGCGCTCTATCACATTGCCAAAGCGCAAGTGTCAGACCCCCATTGCAATTGCCGGACCACCCATTGCAATTACCGGACCTTCCTTTGCAACTGCCGAATTGCACTTTACGCGGTACCGGAGCCCTACTGCTGTGCCGAATTGCCCTTTACACAGTGCCGGAGCCCTACTGACGAACCGCATTTTACACTGTGCCGGAGCCTTATTGCCGGACCGAGCTTGGCATAGTATCGGAGCGCTGCTGTTGGACCATAGTTACACGGTGCCGAGCCCTTATTTTGGTGGTATAGAGACCAGAGAGGCTTGGGTAAGGTAAAAGTATGGGAGGGTAGCTTAGGTATTTTTTTATTTATTTTTTGGTTGGGGGTTTGTATAGAAAATATAATTTAGTAAAAAAAGTGAGAGACAAAATTAAGCTGGGGTAAGTTGGATAAAAAGTATAGTTTTAGAGGTTTTTTGTAATTTTACATTAAAAAAATATCCCAAACATACTATCTTTGTACTAGAAAAATAATGCCTCAAGATTGAATAGAGGCTGTTAAATTTTGGAAGAGCTATATCCAAGTGTTACAAAATTCACAATTCAAAATTTTCTTTTTAAAATAATCATCTTATAATTCTGTTCCCACAATTTTAGACCAGAAACAATTCCTAAATAGGTGTTTCGAGTGACAGAGTAGATGCACTGTCTGCACCCCCGGGAGTACAGTATAAGCGCTCATCTACTTCATTTATGACCGCGTTATCGATGTATAAGATACCTAGGTTTTTAAAACTTGGGTTGGATAATTTATCCATCTTGCCCTAATTTTCTCTTCTTGCCTAGAAGTTGCAGAGAGGGATCAGTGAAAATGGTGAACACCAAGAAAACGGTATGTGGAATTTTCATTCTTCCATAATTGGACCGTTCTTTTTCTTTTGTTATGGTTTTTCTCTTCTTTTTTTTCTTTTTTCTTTTTTCTCTCTTTTTTTTTTTTTATATGGTTAATGCACTTCTCCATGTTTTATGGCATTTTAACCATTGCAATACACTGATGCTTTTGTGATCTTGTATTTATAATTTTCAGAAGAAGACCCATGAGTCCATTAATAATAGGTTGGCTCTGGTTATGAAGAGTGGGAAGTACACTCTTGGTTACAAGACTGTACTTAAATCTATGAGGAACTCCAAAGGTATGGTCCCTTATTTATCGTACTTTTGATTCGTTTCAAAAAATAATAATTAGCCTGCAAGATTCTTACTTTCTTATTTCCCATGAGAATTTCTTTCATTACCCAGAAATGTTTTATTTAACACAGATTAAATTTATTCATTTTTTCTGTCTTGGTAAATTTTAAGAGGAATTTTGTCCTGTTTTGTGAGTTTATAAGATTTTTCTTGTTGTTATCTCTTTGTGATATTGTGTTTGGGGCCCCTAATTGAATTTCTCATGGTTTTATTTGATGTTTATGACATTGTTTAGATAATCAGTGTGAACTTTATGAATGATATTAAGGCGTGTAAGTTTTGAATGTTATGATGAAAAACCACTTATGAAATGTGAACAAAGATTTGAACAACTATTTGTACGTTAAGAATGATCTTTCTGTAAAACAAAATTATAACTGATCAAAAAAGAAAAAATAAATTATATGAATTTTGTGATGAAAAAGAATTACACGGTTGCTATTTAGGTGTGTTAATCTTTGACAGGGAAGCTGATAATTATTGCAAATAATTGTCCTCCCCTGAGGAAGTCCGAGATTGAGTACTATGCCATGCTTTGCAAGGTTGGGGTGCATCATTTTAATGGAAGTAAGCAATCCCACTATCCATTAATTCGAACTTTTCTACTTTTTCTTGTCATAAACATTTATATATGCATACATGTAGTGGTTTATCTGCATGTGTTCGATTTTGAAGGTTTTATATTCTATCAATCAATGCATTAAAAGCAGGAGTAGGCGCCTGGCAGGCTGCCTGGGTGCAATGCAGTCTCCTAAGCAGGCATTTCATCCTTGAGGCGCACTTGCTGTACAAATATGCATATGTATTTAGGATATGAATACACGTCTTTGTATGGTATCATGTTAACATGTATTCATGTAATACAATTATTTATGTTACAGGAAGTATATGCATAATCAATTGAGCATTACAAATTTGAATCATGGGAAAAACTCAAACTTTGAAAATAATTAGCTAAATGTTGGATCACATTTCACAGATGGAACATAACCACAAATATAGTCAAATTTCCAATGCCACACTTCTGATTGCTCCATGTCCAAGACCATAAACTAAAATTACTCAAATAAATAAACACAAAGGTACAATATAGAGAAAAGTACACGAAAGGAAAAGCAAGCAAAATGAAAGACCCTGTTGCCTGATCTCCAATCCTCGATGTTTTGGGTGAATATTGAGCTTTAAATCACCCAAAACCTCCTCTTGGAGCCTCTCAATGTTTTACAATGAATCAAATCCAAAGGGAAATCATTTTGTCCCCCCTTAGTTGCATGGCTACATTGGTTGCAGACCCCCATTTTAGGGCCTTAGGAGCATTTGTTTTACCCAAACTTGGCATCACCTCTCGGCTCCACTGTAACAGCCATGAAAAAAATATTTCAAAAGAGAAAAACTGGAAATGGTTAGAAGATGGGCGGATACTGTTCTGGGGCTATGCTCAAACTTGGCACATACACATATTTGGTTCCATCTCCCGGACAACAAAGTAGTGAACATGAATTGAATCTAAAATCTCACCTTATAGGAAAGAGGAATATGAAATTCTCTTCTGAAATGAGTAGCATTTTATAGAAATTTGGTGGTGACATGTTTGCCTCGTGATTTATTTCATTATTCATAATGCAATTTTTTTTATTTGGTAGTTGCACGTCCAACTGACCCAAGTTGACCATGAAATTGTTTGACTCGTTTGGCTCAAAAGTAGTTGTACAAATCTAGTGATAATGTAATTTTGTTTCGAAGGAGCAGCTCTTATGTATTTTAGTTTTAAGTTTTAGACTTTTAGTTTCTGGGTTCTTTGAAACAAGGGCACCTTATCTTAAGTCAAACTTATTGTACAAATCTAGTGATAATGTAATTTTGTTTTGAAGAATGAGCATTTATGTGTTTTAGTTGTCAGTTTTAGACTTTCAGCTTCTGGGTTCTTTGAAACAAGGGCACCTTATCTTAGCTCAATCTTATAATACCTGTTTTCCAAGCCCTAAATTATGGAACGTACTGGCAGAACATACACATTAATCTTCTTTCTCACACTCAAGGCTATTCTTTCTTTTCTATTGGGGGCTTCTATCATAAAAAATTTTCTATGGCTTGAGGACTGCTCGTGGGTCATGCTTGAAGGCTCCTCTTTGGTTGATATGTTAGAATCTCGGTGTCAAATTAGTTTAGTGTTAAGTCTACTTGGAAAAGGGGAACCTTGTTGGTTATCTGTGAGATCAAAGTGGTTTTCTTCTTGAAGTTAATGGGTTTGGTTCTCCTAAGAACACAGTATACATGTATAGGTGGAAGCATGGTCATCGAGCTCACTCTCTAAAAGGGCAGTGAAGTACAAGTTTGTAGTGATAAACAAGCATATGCATTTTTTTCCGTTCTCATCATGAAACTTCATTTTACTATGTTTTCCTTTCATCTAGCTTTCTCTTGATTATCTTGAGGAGCCCGTGTCTCTATGCCAATTGTGGGTTAATTTGAGATGAAATTTATTGTAGTAGATAAAAAAAAGAGGGAATTACATTTCTCTTGAATAATTCCAATGAGGGATTAAATTAATTGCTTACATATCCGTTAAGAACATACACATCACACATACACATACACATCACACATACACATCACACACGTTCATATCCGTTAAGAACATGTATCGTGTGTGTATAGCATGATTAAAAGCATCCTTGGTACATAAATGTTTTTTTTTTGACACTCCCTCTTAAACTAGTGCCTCAACTGATTTGATCGATAGATTCTTCTCCAAGTAAGTTTATGTCACTGCTTCAAAAAAAGATGAGATTTTTCCTTGAATGATGACCTGGTGAAAATGCAATGTGTTCTGCTGAGACGGTAACATCAAAGACAGGTAACACAATCAATTAATCCATTGGTTCTGTAATGTGATGACAGTCAACCTCAATCCATTTAGTCCTGTCACATAATATTAGATTGTTACTTTGTTGCAATGACATTGTAGCAATAAATTTAGTCCTATCTCATAATATAAGATTGGAGGTTCTTGGAATCTAGACTTCTTAACAATTGAATAGAGCTCAAAACCATATGCTATATGATCTCACCAATATGACTTTTGACATGTTTCTGTCTTTGATACAATACTGGGTTTGGGCACGATTTATTGTATCTTGCGAACTTACACCATGGAAAAAGTCAATCTTTTATAGGAGTAGAATATGGATCGCCCAGTCTTCGTTCATATGCTTCATTCTGGAGAGGTCTAATAATGAGCGCCTTACAACCTCATACAATGGAGTCAAGCCAGTACATATAATAATTTACTAGTTAGATGCGAGATCTGTGATGCCTGAATAAACTGACCCACCACCTGCATCGCTCTGTGTAACGACTGGTTTAGTGATGATATATTAGAGTTCTTTAACTAAATTATTAAAACAGATTACGGAGTTCTTTAATTAATTTTTTGAGAAAAAGAGTCTTCAGAGGACCCGAATGTGGTCAGACTAGGAAGGAGCTCTTGAATGTTTCTTATTGGGTTCTAGTGGAGTATCAATTCTCCTTTCATGCAAATTTCTCATGCATTTTTTCGGATGCTCAAGTAAGCTGAAATGCTAAGAAATATGAAAACTCTCCTGGTATCTTTGACTTGAAACTGTTGTTCTTTGAGAAAGCATGATCAAGGTGTCACATTACTAGTAACAGTAAGTGTCATCCCCGTAAATTACTGAAGATAATATTATCCTCACATGTGAGGACCAAAGTTATCAAATCACTTGAACATCAGGCCAACTAGAGTGGTCATGCACCATGCACAATATAAACCATTTCCCCATAATATGTCAAACTTGGAGTTTTTCTGAGACCATAATGAACTTCCTAAGCTGATGACTGAATATTGATCAAATAAATAACTAAGATGGGGCTTCATGTGTATGTTTCTTCATATATTCGGTATAAAGAGAGACATCCCTAATGTTCATCTGATAGAGATACCATCAATGCATGCTGTGGCAACAATGTGTATCTGAGGTCGATAATGGAATCGGGCACTAGATCCCCTTGCACCCTATATGATCTAATAAACGAAACAGCATCCAGTTTGTTTGTAATTTGTGTACCAAAATATTATAATGTTATGTTGTTCAAGGCATCAGCCTCACATGCATGGATTTTTTCTGTGACTGTTATGTTTTAGATAAAGCTGTTATGGCTGACTGTTTAAAATAAAGTGGTTCCCGAGATGGTTTGTGCATTATCAATGTATTATGTGGCAAGAATCCAGCTTTGGTCGATAATGGAACCAATCACTCGATTCCCTTGCATCCTATATGATATTGTAAAGGAAGCCACAGCCCGTTTCTTAATATTTTGTTTACCAATATATAAAAATGTTATTTTGTTCAAGGCATCAGCCTCGCATAGATTTCCTCAGTGTTTCAAAATTCGGACCGGTGGGGTGGATTGTCCACCCCACAGATCTGTGTTGGATCAACGGATTCCTCCAAATAGGTGACCCTGAGAATATTAAAAATTTAAGAAATAACTGTTTTTTTTTTGCTGGGTTTGCTGTGGGGGGGTGGTTGGAGAGGGTTCAGTGGGGACCTAAGCAATCACTTAAGCTTGGAAAAAAAAAGTGGATTTTTTTTTTGGGGTGATGGGGGGAAGCTGAGCCAGTACTGTACCTTCCTGGAACCGGGTTCTGTCCCACCCCATGTGAATCATTGTTTTAAAACGCTGGATTTCCCATATATATATATATATATATATATATATATATATATATATTATTTTATTTTTTCTCTTGATAATAGGATTTCCGATATAGTTATGTTTCAGATATAGTTGTTTTGGTCAACTGTTCAAAACCAATTGGTGGTTGGATAGATAGTGCAGTCAATAATCCCTTGCTATCTTATCAAGAAAAAAGAAAAGAAATGTGATCGTTATGCTTCACAATTCCTTGTAAGAAGAAAGAAAGTTTTGCAGATTCTCAGTTTTGCATAGGAGATGATGAGAAGGTTCACCCATCATAAAAAGAGGAATGGATTTTTTCTGGAGTGGAACTTCTATGTTCTTGTTTAGAATAGATCATCCTTACCCTTTTGTTAGTTTCCTTCTTTATTGTACGTGAGATACCTTTGCTGATCATTCTCCAAAGAGAGCGTTGCAAAAGTCTGCCTCCTTGTGCTGGACCTTATCACTAAAATTCAACTTTGTTTCGGCATGAAGGTACCGGTCAATTGTCAGTCATATCACCACACAAACCTATATCGGCAAAAAAAATAATGAGAAAGTTGTATAGCTGAAGTGTAGAACATGATTATGGATGGCATATTCTGTGTAGAACATGATTATGGATGGCATATTCTGTGTGAACTTTACATGACAAAGATAATACCAGAATGGAGTGCCATCATGCAATAATTTACTATAACATTACAAAGTATCATGGGAAACTTTTTTTTTTTTATAATTAGTTCATGAGAAATCTTTTGGAGTCTGGGAACTTGTCAAAAGTTTTAAAAATTTATTAGTTTGGGAAGTGAGTTCTACTTTGCATTTTTCCTTCAGACAACGTGGATTTGGGGACGGCATGTGGAAAGTATTACCGCGTTTCGTGTCTTAGCATCACAGATCCAGGTAATTGAGTTTTAGAAATATCATTTTTTTCCCTTTATGCAAGTTCATGGAATGTAGGCATGTGATAGACACTCATGGATGCCTTATTTCCAGGGGATTCTGATATCATCAAAACTCTGCCTGGGGATCTGTAAGTTGGGCTCGATGCTGGAGAAATTTTGGAGAAGGATTGTATATTTTATTTAGTGATGTTGATGAAGAACATATAAAAGTTAGTTTGAGATGGCTTAGGTGCTGGGCATATCTTGGATTTCACCAAAAAATTTGGATGGTGGTTATGGAAAATTATGTTAGTTTGTTTGCATCAATGTGGAAGATATATATTTTGTAAACTATGTTATGACCTTTGTTTCTTTTATGGGTTGAATTGGTTTTAGTGAGAAATGCAGAGCTGGTCTTGGATCTTTAGCAGTGGTTACCACATAAAAGGATAGTGGTAATTCCTTGGAATTCTTATAGTATATGACTGCTTATCTTTCAGATAAGGTGAAAATTACCCCAAGCCCTTAGATGGGAATTTGTATGGCTAAGGTGCATTTTTTCCGCACAATGCTTGTTAAAATTTTCTCTTGAACTTTGAACATGTTTAACCGCACTCCCTAGTTATACGATTTTCACATTTGAGGATTAGGGGTGATTGTGACTTTTGTATATAAAAAGGACATGGGCATACTTTTTTTGTCTTTTTTCTTTTTCTCTCTCATTCCTATTTGGCTTAAGACATTTGTTTTATTGTGTGAACTATGACTAAGTAAACCTCTACAGGTATGTGTATTCATAAATTCGGACCTCTCTCTCACTCTCTCTAGAAAAATGCAAACCGCGATGCCACCTCTGAAAGTAACCGAACTACTTCTCTAGGGCTTGGTTGCCCAACTTTTCACCCATGGCTAAAATTGAACGACTCATTGCCATGGAATTTCCATCTCTCTTGCCAATGGCCCCTATGAACGGCTAAGATGTTCTACAGATGCAGACCACCACTTGATTGAGATCCTGCACTTTTATCATGGACATCCAAGAGTTGACCCGTGTGGTGCACCAATGTGCAAAAACAGGCACCCTGAGGCAGGGCATGGCCCTGCACGCCCTCATCACCAAATCAACCCCTCTGCTCACCTTCCTCTGCAACCACCTCCTCAACATGTACTCTAAACTCAACAACAACAATAACCTCCCTCTCTCTCAAGCCCACCAACTCTTTGATCAAATGCCTGATCCTAACCTCATCTCATGGTCCACTCTCATATCTGCCTACTCTCACTCCCTCAATCCTTCAACCTCTCTCTCTCTCTTCTCGAACCTCCCCTTCACCCCAAATGAGTACGTCTATGGCGCCACCTTGGGGGCATCAGCTCGCCTTTTAGACGCTCAATTTGGTCGACAAATCCATGCGCACGCCATTAAGTTAAGCTACGAGAAGAACACCATTGTGTCGGCCTCGCTTGTGTCGCTTTACATGAAATGTGGTATGTTCGATAATGGGATGAGAGCGTTTGGCGACTCGCAGGAGCCTCAAGTATCAGCTTGGAATGCAGTGATTTCAGGGTGCATAGATAAGGCGAAATGTGAGGTAGGGCTCGAGCTTTTTTCAGAAATGCGCACACAAGGGGTGATGCCTGATCGATTCACCTTAGTGGGTGTGCTATCTATTTGTGCAGGGGCGCATGAGTGGTCGTGGTGGTGTGCTCATCAGCTTCATTGCTTGTCAACCAAGCTAGGCCTTGCATCATTGGCCTTCGTCGCCAACTCGATCTTGACCCTTTACTCAAAGTGTGGCTCAAGCCTCGAAGAGGTCGAACTTTTATTCGACGAGATAGATGCGAAGGACACCATTTCCTGGAACACTTTCATGGCCTCGTGCTCACACTTTGGTGACCACAACAAAGCCCTAAACGTTTTAGCTAAGATGGCAACCACAAGCCTAGTGCCCGATGCCTTCACTTTCTCGAGTGTGCTCGCTGCCTGCACAGGCCTCGCATCTCTCGAGCTTGGCTCCATGGTCCATGCGCGTGCCCTGAGGACCATATCAAACCCCCCTGACACTGCACTATGCAACGCGCTCGTGACCATGTACGCACGCTGTGGTCGCATAGACCGAGCGTGCATTGTTTTCGAACTCATCCCTCTTCGAAATGTAGTCTCATGGAATGCGCTCATTGCTGGGCTCGCGTGCCATGGGCTCGGGCTCAAGGCGATATCGACCTTTGAAGCCATGCGCAACGACTTGAAAGCACCATCCCCTGACTCAGTCACGTTTGTTGCTCTCTTAACAGGGTGCAGTCACACAGGGTTGGTAGAAGAAGGGAAGGTCTACTTTGAAATGATGGTAGAAGATTATGGGATTGAGCCTTCCATAGAGCATTTCTCTTGCTTGATTGATATGTTGGGGAGGGCTGGTCTTGTTAGTGAGGGAGAGGAATATGCAAAGAGATTTGGAGGGGAGGATTTAGTGATATGGGGTAGTTTGCTTTCAGCTTGCAGGTTACACGGGGATCTAGAGACTGGAAAAAGAGTGGGTTCCAGTATTTTGGAAATGGGTCCTGATATTGGGTCTCCTTATGTGCTAGTTTCCAATATGTTTGCTAGAGAGAGAATGTGGGAAGAAGTTAGAGAAACAAGGAAGCGGATGAGAGAGAGTGGGGTGAAGAAAGAGGTTGGATGGAGTTGGGTTCAAGTGAGAGGTGAGTTTCATAGGTTTACAGTGGGGGATTTTGATAATCCTTATATGAGGGAGTTGATGAATGTGTTGGGGAGCTTTGAACCCTACTGGTTTAGTGAGACGAGGGTACTATAGTCATTTTTTTATGGCAATATGGTTGCTATAACAATCGTTTTGGATGGTTGATTTGATCATAAGTTTTGGAGAATCTAGTAAACTTCACATTTTTCTTATATCTTTTGAGATTATTTTTATTTGAGGGCCACTGTATGTACCATAGCATGTGTAAATTAACTTATCTCCCAACCCAAGTTTTACAAGAAAGGTATCCCATGGGAGCATACAATATGCGTACTCCCTCAGGTACAGGACTCCCTTGGGAAGATTCTTTTTTATATGAAATTTAGGGAAACACCTAAAAATCACTAGATGATTATATTCAGAAGTAAATATTTAAATTATGATCTTTCTAATCCTTAGATCTCCCCTTAAAAAATTGGAAGGTTTCTATTCAATCTTGGGGCATAATTTTCTTCAAGCTCAGAGAGAATGTAATTTGGAGATATTTTTTTTATTAAATATACAATATGGGTTGAGGAGGTTATATCTCCAAATTTAGGGTCCTAAAAATACTCCTAAAACGGGTTTTGCCCCCTATGCTCTCTTAGAGCCCAAAATATTTGGCTCTGATGTTTTACACACAATACATCTATTAATATTTTGCCTGGACATGTTGAAGGAATTTCATAAGAGAAATTCTGACAGTTATTAATATTATTTGTTGATATGTTCCCTTCATGAATCTACTCATTTCATTCACCATTTCTCTATACATTCTAGATATATTGAGCTGCAGTTTAGAAAATGGTTTTATTTTTATTTTTATTTGAACATCTATCTTAAAAATGGACCATAAATGGTATGTGATGCATGCGTCCCCAACTCATACAACTTTTTTCCTCAAATAAATTCTCGTATATTATCTTATATTCTCTGTTTCACACAAAATTCCTTTAGATCTCACTCTTTCCACTTGTCATGGTTGTCTCTTCCTTTTTTTCTTTTTTCTTTCTTTTGTTGACAGAAATGGTTCTCTTCCTTCTTTGCATACACGGTTCTCTCTTTGATCACCAGCTTCAAGTCTATCTTTCAAATAAGAAACAATTTAATCTGAATACTTGATATCTTAAGAAAAACAACTTTGCCTCCATCTTTCGAAGAAGTCACCATCTCTCTCTGTTCGTTTACATCTTGCCTTGGGCTAATCCGGATTGTTTATATTCCATGTGTTAAGTCAATCGCAAGTATCTTTTTTTTTTAAAAAAAAAAAATATCCAATCCAAAAAAAGGAGCACATATACTATGCTACTTCAGAAGCATAGTTTAGTCACAAGACTTACTTGGAAGAATTTTTTCAATCTGAAATTTTGGGAACCACTTAAGAATTACTAGATGATTACTCTAAAAATAAAATAAAATTTTAAAATTTGAGTTTTTTAATACTTAGATCTCACCATCTAAAAAATATTTAAGAAAAAGTTTATATAGAGCTGAGGCTCTAAACAATCAAATTAGAGCCCACATCAAAAATTTCACTAGAAGAAGTTATTTTGATGCCCAAATATCCTCGGCATCAAAATGCATTGACATGAGAAAAAAAATGGATTTTAGTTTTTGGAAATTGTGCATTTTGTAACGCATTGTTGGACCGTCAATTTTCAAGAATTTCAAGTTTTCATAGATATGCTCGATCTACATTATTTTTAAAGTTTAAAATTTTATAATAAAAAATAAAAATATATTTTAAAACTATCACAAAAATTTCCAGAAACCACATTTCGATACTATTTAAAGGTGCATTTTACTATTGTATAGAGCCTCAGCTGTGTAAAAACCGCACCCTTAATAAATCCCCAAAACAATTGAGACCACGTGGACATGAATTACCGTTGGAAATTACCACCACTATTTTGGGTCGCGCAACCACAAAGTGGATTATAAAAATGTTGTTACCTACTTACACAAGTTTAAAATATATTTTTTTACAATTTATAAAAGGAAAAAGTTTATATAAGGATGCTACCCAGAACTACGGATGCCTTTCAAAAATCCATCGGAAAAAGTAGTTTTAATGTTGAAAGACCCTTTAATTGACATCGAGATCTATGACAATGAAAAATAAAAAGATTTTAAGTCTCATAAATAGTGCTTTTGCAGCATATTATCTACACCGTTCATTTTCAAGATTTTCATATGTTTATAGATCTACTTGATTTTAATCGTTTTTAAAATTTAAAATTTTATAATTAGATATAAAAATAGATTTTGAGATAATCCTTAAAACAAATTTGAAGATCCATCTTACCTCTACACCTACATATGCATCCGTATGCAAACTGCACCCTTCATAAAAAGCATAATTTTTGCCATTTCCTTAAAGTTTCCAAAAGCGATGATACAAAGAATAAAAAACTCTACATTGCAACATTCTTAACGCTGACGTGGCATCTCACAAACTCATGACTCTCTTTAAATTGATACAAGCTCATTTCTCTTTAAAAAAAGCAAAATTATGAAATTTGAGCTTTCAAATAGTTAGATTTCACCATCTAAAAATTGTAGGTCTCTATTCAATCTCAAGAGACATTAGTTTTTGGGAAAATTATCTGAAATATACTTTAATTTTTGCCTAATTGAAAAAAAACCTTCAACTTTCATAAACTTCGTCCACACCTTTTTTTCTCAATTTTGATATTATTTTTTTTACCAAAATAGCTTTTACGGTAGGCATATTACCGTATACGACTACCGCATTACACTACTTAAAAGTACTGTAATGATAGAACCTTCACAGTAATACGATTACCGTGAATGCTATTTGATAAAAAGATGCCAAAATTAAAAAAAAATGATGTGAACGAGGTTTATGAAAGTGAGTTTTTTTCAATTAAAAAAAAATTAAGGTATATTTATGATAATTTCTCTATTTTTTTCAAGTGTATAGAAGGTACAATTAAGAAAAAATTTTAGTCAATCAATGAGTTAAAAATGTTACATCCCCAAAATTTCGGATCCTAAAATTAACTCCCGGTGGGGTTTTACCGGAGGAGGTAAATGAACTGTAGGGTATTTTTGGGCTACATAATTATGCAATACTGCCACTCCTATTTTGGGCATGACAAATGTAATATTTTCGGTGGATTATTAAATGGACCTAGTTTTTATGCGGACAAGCCCGCATATGTAGAAATGATTTTTTCAAGCAAGCGGAGATGTTTGATGTAAAGAATTTTAAAAGATCAAATTGTAATTTTAGCCATTCTCCTTGTTTTAAACACCAAACTCGTTTACCGTAATATATTTGTTTGAGACAGAGCAGGAACACTTGCCCAAGATAGTATACAGAGAAAGAGGAAAGAGAGCAAAAGAGGAAAGAGGGGGAATCCGATGCCACATCACCAAAATTTATGGCTTTTTATAGGTTGTGAAAGACAAATTTTTGCTGTTTAAATCATATTTTTTCATTGGAATATCATACTTGTATTTTTGCTCAATAGTTATTAAAAGACAAATTTTTGGAGATTTTTTTTTTAATTAAAGAGAAGATTGATTATTCATGATATTTGTGTCATCATAGTGATCGTAGAAAAGCTTGAGAAATACGGAACCATGAACGATGTAAATTGAGAGCGAAGAGGTGAAGGGTTAGACCGTTAGAGAGAGAGGGAGAGAGGGAGAGTTGAATCTATTAAAAGTTGATTGAAATATCGCAGGTCCAGAAAGAGGAAGGGACATGAAAGAATGCCGACCAAAAGAAAGGCCAAGGATATTCAAGTTCATAACCCGTCCAACAATGTCAAAAGAAGAAATGGTTTACAGAAGAAATTACACGAACTCTCAGTACTGCGTGGAATTGATGCTTGCATCATATCTTTCTCAGACGCCTCATCTTCCCGTGTTCTGGATATTTTGCCTCAAGACACAAACAATTACTCTCTCGCTCTGTGAAAGATATCTCGGTCTCGACAAATCCGAGAGAGAAAAGAAACTCCAGGATTGCTCTCACTTGATGTCGGAGAAAATACAGAGTTTAAAGCAACAGATTGAGAAAAAAAAGAGAAGAAAACATGGAGGCTAAATTGGAAGCGATGGTTTATGGACTATCTGGCCATCACAAAATTGATGAATTATCTATCGATGACCTTCAGAAGCTCTCTAGTCATATCGATGTCTTACTGCACAAAATCAGAGAACGTGATCAGTTTTTAGAGATGGGGAAACATAGAGATATTGAAGGTTGAGAATGGGGTAAATTTGCTGCGAATTCTCAGAAGCGATTTCGCAGCCACACTTTTTCGGCAACTCCAGAGGTTGGGAATGAGATTAAATTTGCTCCCAAACATGAGGCTAGTTAAGGCCAGTTTATCGACACTTTTCCGGGGATTCCGGGGACTCAGCTGCCATGTAACTTGCCACATCAACAATACTCGGACCCAGAGTTCCAGCAAGTCGCTGGCCCGCCCCGCCCAGTGGGTACTCAGCCCATGAATGTTGAGAGGTGGGTCCAGGATTGGAGCTTGCCTTTGGGTATTCCAGTTAGTCCACCTGTGTTGGCAAGCCAAGTTTTGGGTTTTTGAAGGCCTCCTTATTAACTGTGTCTAACTGTCCGTGTTTCATTTAACCTATTTTCTGTTAATTTTTTGTTCTAATTGGTTTATTTATTAGCGATTGAGGAACGATACGATTATAAATAGACTAGCGGCCGTGATTTATTCATTGTGTAATTTTGTCTCCCATTTTCAATGGGACCTCCTGTTTATCCCACTTTTCTACTAGCTAATGGAGTCTCCAATCTCTCTCTCTCTCTCTACAGTAATTGCATAAGGTATATGTATACTTTTGAGTGCATAAATCCAATTAAAACAGTAATTGCATAATTTACCTTTTATTGCTAAGCATATGAAACCTTAAAAGCAGTGGTCGCAAACTTGGCCGGTCCAACTCAGACCCAGCTGGTCAAATGCAAACCCGGCATTGATGGATCTGGTTTTGGTGGTCAGGCTAAGTATTTTAAATTTTTTAAAAAAATATATAAAATTCCAAATATTAAGAAATTTGTTTGTAAAGTATTTTTAAATGTTATTTATCATTTTGGCAAAGATACACTATTTTCAAGATTTGAAATCTATTTTTTCTCTTAATCATACATCTGGAAAACAATTTGAGGATTTTTTTGGCATCAAAACCACCTCTTTTAGTGAATTGTTAGGTGCGCCTTAATTTGATTATTTAAGGAGTCATCATTAATATAAGCTTTTCCCATTATAGAAGTACAAAACATTTCTGCTTAGTTCTTTTTCTTTTCATAGGCATTGTAATTAAACCTGCAACATAAGATGACATCATTTACTCCAAACTACAAGTTCCATAGTCAACCACATACAAAAACCCAAAGGTCTTCCACATTAAAGCTCCTAATCTCTTAGTAGAGTAATGGAAACAAGCCTGGTCAGAACGGCAAAGACAAACTTCTTGAGGTATAACAAAGATGGTGCTCTCTACTCTAGACCCTAAATACAAGGTTAAAACAATAAGGAATCTCATCGCTGTACAGACCAAGCATAGATCGTATCTCTAACTGTCATTTCCCATCCATGTGACATCCATAAAAGAGAAACGGAGTTCACAAAAGTAACATCCCTTCGAGATGGTGCATCTCCAGCCTGCAAAACAACACCCGCTAAAAGGAACAAGCTAACCACAATAGAGAGAGAGAGAGAGAGAGCAGCATGCAAAAGAGCAACCACTACCAGAAACAGGCTCCTTACTAAGAATGGCAACTTAGAGAGAGAGAGAGAGGCCTGCAAAAGAGCAACCACTGCTCAGCTACTATATATAGCAAATTAAAGAGAGTTTTCTACACCCTCCGGCGCCTTTCCCGTGCAGCTAGTTTAGCAGCAACCTGTTCTTCTGACAAGGGGAGGAAATAGATGCGCGGGCTCGCTCTTGTTTTCATGAAGAGATCGTCGAGTGTGAGAATAGGTGGTGCTGGTTTCTTAGAAGGGGGAGGAGGTGGAGCCAGTGTCTCTCTGGCTAGGGGTGGTTGTTTAGAGAGAGAAGGCTGAGAAGGCAAGGGAGTGGCATTGTTTGGAGGTTGTTGACGTGAGTTCTGTTTGTTAGAATTTGGTGTTGTAGTAGCAGGTGAAGATAAGGGAGCTTCAAGTTTGACCTTAACCTCTTCAGGATCAACAAACTCAGCTGTAAGGCAGCGGCCACCATTAGAAGGCCACTGTAGATTGTAGAGAGCATTTCGAGTTGCCATTGCTTCATCCTCTGATGAATACTACAATAAAAACACAGAATTAAAAAAAGGGAAATTTATCAAGAGATGCACGATTTAACATTGTACCTATTTCTTTTGATTTTACATAACTCCGCCTTGGCTGGCCCCAAGCCAATCCCAAGCCCAGGTAAAGAAGGAGGGTTGTGTCAGGTAGGGAGCCAGCGTAAAACTTTGTCAAATCTGTCATGAATCCTAAACCTATGAGCAGAATGGCGAAACGGGATTCATGTAGCCAACCCCAAATAATTGGGATAAAGCTTTGATGATGATGATGACCTATTTCGTTTGATTTAAACAGTTGATAAGTTAGGTGTATGTTAATCATTCTCCCTTAAACAATGACAAAATAATATGAAAGGGATTCACTACAGCCCATGAAAACTATTTAGAGAAAGCAGCTGAATTGGAAAGCCGAAAGGAGATTTTCTTTATCTTTTTTTTTTTGGTTGAATTGCTACTATTATTCTTTTCAATCACCAAGCATATGATATTTAATAATTTATGGCTGAGAGAGAGAGTAGAGAGAGAGAGAGAATTTATGTACAAAAAGACATACAGTGACATAACAGTGGGTCTTGATGTGGTCCATCCAGAATTTGGAGACAGTCCCAGTTTTTGCCAGAAGCTCTTGAACAGCTTTTAGAGTGAATGGACGCAGGAATTGGTCAATCCTCAAAGAAGTAGTTGCAGGCTTTTCCGATGGAGGAACTGCATAAAAAAATTTTAAGAACCCACTTTAGTTTTCTTTTTCTTTTTCTTCCTTTTTTTTTTTTAAAGAAAAGAGAAGAACCCACACTAGTTACTCATTTAACAAACGACAAATAAAAGAAACTTGTCCCACAGAAGTTTGTAAATCTTCCTGGGCTTCTATTGTATTCATGGCATATATACCCAAATGCTTATCTGTAAGCTCTATTTCCCAACTTGCATTTCACGTTTTCTTAAAAAAGAACTTTGCATTTCAAATGGCTTGCATCTTGCATGATTCCAAGTATAGCACAGTAATTCTTGAAACTACTACCATACCACCCATTCAAACAAATCAAAAGCATGGTAAAGTCAAGTCTAAAAACCAACTTACCCACATTAAAAAAGCAAGGGGAAAAGAACTATTGCAAGCCCAACTTGCACAACCAGAAGAAGACGAGGAAGAAGAACAAAATGAAGCTTACCAATGCGCTCTTTGGGGGCACCTCCATTATTGGGAGAGTCGGGATTAGTGAGCGTGGTCTTAGGCAAGGATGAAAATCTATCTCTAGGCACAGAAAAAGAATTACTAAGGGGAGGAGCAGAACGAAGAGAATTTTGAGATTCGGATACCCTAAGTGGCTCCGAGTTCCACCGACATTGCCTCTTTGAAGGGTCCTTGACCCTGGGTGCCTCCTGATCTGCACATAATAAAAGGGGAAAAATCAATAATAAAACATGTAAACTAGCTATTATTTTAATTCTCTCAGAAAAAAAAAATTGCAATTTTTCTTGAAAACAAGAAAGGAAAAACTCAAATCATGGAAACGTTAGAAGTCATATTTCACAATGAACTAACCTCTTTCAGCCTTTTAAAAGTACAGTAAGGTTAAATATAATAAAAGGGAAAGTTAGACACTTCCAATAAGCACTTGGCTTTCAAAGAGGGAAGTTTTTCTTTCTCTCTGGTATAAGTTGAACGCCTTACACCCAGAAATAGTATGAAGCGGCACGACATATGGTCTGTTGCAACTCGCAACTAGAGTAAACTTGGAGAACAGGCCATAAAGAAATTTACACTGACGAGAAAAGGACCAACGTACCAATGGAAAGACATCTAAATGACAGTATATGTAACTATGTAGCTTTTAGCTTCTATTGGTTAACATGCGAAAGTCGTGCAAAACTATACAGTTTCCATATATTTATCAAGGGTTTGCATAAAAACTTGTACAAAAGTTTATTGCCTCAATACCCTTGCATCATGCACATGAAGGCAATTTCAAAGATCTCTTTGGTGAAAAACCACAAGGTGCAGGATAGCATGAAGGCAATTTCATAGATCTCTTTGGTGAAAAACCACAAGGTGCAGGATAGTAACACCACACCCACTACATACAAATTACTATTATTGGGAAATACACTGATTATCACTTACATTCCATGTACCCAAATCTATGAAAGAAAAACTTCCCACTATTGTAGAAATGTATAGGAGAGTTGAGAACATTAGATTATTCCAAAGAGGAAAACTATACATACTTTTTTATATAATTCATAAGCAACTTTTCATGTTACTGAGAAAAAGCAATATTGCAAATGTGCTTTTGCAAAAATTTGGCAGCCTTGGACCACAACTGTTTACTAGACCTAGAAACCTAAGAGCATTACTCCAACATCATGGTGACTTATTACACAATTCAAGCTAAATTATTCAAATAGTACAAGCAATAAATAGGTCCAAATCACAGAAAGAAAAACTAATTATGCATGTAAACAAGACAATGCAATAGTACATACCACCTTCAATTTTTCTTTTCTCCCCAATATTCACTGAGTCATTGCTTCTGTCTACAATAACATTCTTCTCATTTGGAGAGGAATCAGCCACAGCAGCAACAGCAGCAATGTCCTCTTTTATTGGACACAATTTTGATACTTCATCCTTGTCTCTGACTTCAACAGTATTTTGAATAACATCACTTTGTTTACTCTCTAATCCATCATCCTCCAGTGATTCATCCCCCGAACTTCTATCTAAATTCAGTTTTTCAGAAGAACCACCATCTGCACTATCAACTTTCTTGATAAGGTCTGCATGGGTACTAGCAGCAAGGGCCTCATCAATCTCCATAGAGCTCTGATACACACCTGGCTCTTGACCATCCAAAGAACCACCAACTGGAGGTACTTCAGTGGATGATTGGTAGGCCCCCTCTGGATTACTAGCTTCTAATTCTAAATGTAAATTATCAGCATTCAAATTATCCTTTAGTTCATTCTTTTCATTTTCATTAATTGACACAGAATCGCTAGAAACAGAATCACACTTTAGCAGAACCCCTGAAATAGGGCTGACCTTTCCAGATACCTGAGAATTTGGGTTGAAAGGGTTGGGCTCCTCGCTTTTGATAGGACTCCAGAATGCCTCATCTTCTATCACAGGTTCATGCTTACACTGTTTGTCAATGGACTCTATCTGGTTTACAAGGTTGGGCTCCTCGCTTTTGTAGGGACCCTTCACAGATACCTGAGAATTTGGGTTGCAAAGGTTGGGCTCCTCGCTTTTGATAGGACACCTGGATGCCTCATCTTCTATCACAGGTTCATGCTTACACTGTTTGTCCATGGACCCTATCAGGTTTACAAGGTTGGGCTCCTCGCTTTTGTCGGGACTCTTTGATGCTTCGTCTTCTTTCAGACTTTCATGACTAGACTGTTTCTCAACGGATTCTATCTGTTTAACAGGGCTATGACTCACCGAAATGCTGACTTCTGGAGAACCCGTTGGAAATGTAACCATAAATTCAGAGGTCTCAATTTTCATAGAATCAGTCAATTCACAATCTTGAGCTTCAACCCCTTGATTGGGAATGGCATTGCTGTTATCATTGTCAACCATTGTGGCATCCTTATCCTTAGTTTCAGTATCATCTATGATGGACTCAGTAGTGTTCTTTTTAGCTTCATTTTCACCTGGTCGATATACTGGTGCATTTCCCAAATCTGTCAGCTCATCATTTTGCTGAACCTGAGGAATAACTTCAGTATCCAAGCCATCGCCCACATTTTCTTGAACACAGTTCTCATCATTTAGAATTGCTTCCGACAACCGCTTCAGTAAATCCTCCTTTAAGCCCTTAGTTATCATATTACGTTTCCGAAGTTCATCTTTCAATTCTGTCACTTTCCATTGTTCAAGTGGCCGATTGCCAAGAACTGGGTACTTAGATGGCATCCTTCCAGTGTTACTCAAGCAAAATACGGATGTGAAAGTCACCTAAACATCAAGAGAACCCAAATCATATATATCCAGTCATCACATACTGTACAATGTAAGTAAAAGTAATAGAAATGATATTGAACATGTAAACAAAAAACTTTTAAAGTGAAAAATTAGAAAAGAATAAATTTTTCAAATGTTTGATTGTATATCTACTAAACAGAAGGAAAACCTAAAATTATGAAATACAGTCCATACCTATTAAATGGGATAGAATACATGCACACACGTGTGTACACGCACATACATGCAGCCACGCACTCACGACACATGCACGCACAGCTAAGCTTGAAAATTTCACATATAAATCGCAGATATTAACCAAAGAAATCCTTGAGTTCCATACCCAACCCTAAGTCTAAAGGTATTAAACAATAACCATAACATCCACTTCATATCATCTATGAGTAATCTTCTTCTTTATAGGTAACTAACTCTAATAAACAAAACTAAAGTGCAGTGAAAGTACAAAATGGAAGTATGGTACCCCTAGTAGCAAAAAAATGTCCAAATGTCGTACTCTATTCTAGGTATGTCCAAATTTGCTAGGCTGTATGCCACCATACTACATAATAAAAATACACAAGGTTAATTTCTCTGACAATTCAATCATAGAAAATTCTCAAATAGTTCCTTCTAGCTCCATAGAATCAAAGAAATTCAGGCCATCTGAGAGCCCATTGTGAATTGCCTTTAAAGACAGCCAACCCTTCAAACTCTTTGGTCATACACAAGTTCCCTCCAGGCCCGCAAATGCCCAATCCTAAATATATCAAGCATAAAAAATAGTACTAAACAACCAAAAATAAGACTAGAGAGGGAAATGAGATGATCATGTGGGTTAGGGGGGGATAGAAACTGGCTATGTGGATTGTCACATGTTAGAGGGAATGTGGAATGGAGCAACAATACGAACAAATTTTGAAAGGAAGGTATGGTCATGTGGGTGAATTTTCTCTATAGTTCTCTACCTTGTTGGCAATCTTGCAACAAATTCCAAGGGGTAATATCATCGCATCTTAAGAGGAGGATGAAAAGATACTGGTGGTAAGAGAGAAAATTGAGTTCAATATTATGTCTTGGACGCTAATCTGAGGAGAAAAAAATGAGAGAGAATGGAGAATTGGTTGACAGAACTAAGAACTATCTTCAGTATGGAAGACCTTCCATGTGGTTCCCTCCCAAAGTAGACCTCAAGATCAACTTGCTTATTTGATTTTCCACTTCCAAAAGGCCTTCAACAGTTGGCCTGGTTTATGGCACTTGGGAGTGATGTTCAGAAGATCAGCATTTGGGTTTAAATTGTATTCGACCTAAACCAATAGTTTATGGTATTCAAAAATTAAAATTGGAAACTAATGATAATTTTTCAGTATGTAACAGTGTAATGACCGATATTTGGAAAATATTGGACATAACAAACTTTATACCCAATAAAATTATAGTGTAATTTTTATTTATTAATATCTCCAAGAAAAAATGGATTTATAATCGATTTTCCAGGCACAAACGAATGTAATGGTGTTCATATAGCTCGTTTGTTTCATACATTGAGAAAATCGATATATCAGCCATCACATTGATACATAATGACCATTACAAATACTTAACAATATGGGGGATTTTGACTTCGTGGTTCACCATTACATAACAGCCATATATTGGTTCAGGCAAGGCAGTGCTATTAATGTTGGCCAATTGGCCAATATTTCCAATCTATTAAATATATCCAATATATTAACATCTTTCGGAACCTTTCTTGGGAGCACATCCTTCTTATATGGATTGCAATCATCACAGTGACACCCCTGTTCTTCGCTCAGGCTCTAAACCCTGACTGTCTCTCAGATAAACCACTGATTTCATGGAGGGTCTGATTTTGGATGATGTTTGTGTGGTGCCGAAGACCTTTTCTGGCTTGATCAGGACCAATGGCTTCTTTGGAAGTTAAGACCAAAGCTCTCCTTGGTTGGATAACAATATCCTCACATTCTGTCTCTGGTCTTTCACAGTTGGAAGGCGATATCCACTGATAGTGATTTGCAAGGGAAGTAGGACAAGTCCTAACTCCTGAAGTTCAGAGGATGCCTTTGAGGAAATTCAAGACATCTTCATTACTTTCCGCACTATGTGATATCCCAGTTATAAAGTTTTAGATGCTGAACCCTAATCATCCATAAAATTCAAGTCAATTTGGGGTTGGGGATATAGCATTCTTATACAATATTTGATTCTCCATTTGGTATTGTAACTACTTCAGTTCGCTCCTTTTCATTGATCGGCACCTCTGTTCTCTTGAAATTGGTTAAGAAAGTAATCCGCAAACAAAAGAATATGTTCACACCTTGATATTTAAATTCAAAGGCCTATGAAAAAAGTATGAAACATCAATTTAACCCTAAATATTTGAAAATTCAAACCGTTAGTCTAAAAACTAGATTGCCCGAATTCAATTTTCTACAATTCTATGGGACATGAAATGATGTTCTTCCTTCATATTACACGACTTTCAAGGCTTCTCTTGTCAAACTCGTATCCATAGAGTGGTCATAGGACAAAAGTAGAGTTAGGAAGAGAGATATATGGCACTTTTGCACAATCACAGCCCTCTTGCAAATGCTAAGCATCATGAAGCTTCTAGAAGCTCGAGTCACCAATTAACTTTAAAAAACGTACTAAATTAACTAACTCATGATCCCACCAATGGTTAATTTGGTTGAATGCATTTCAACAAACCATCTGAACTTGATTCTATAAGATCTAGAGCCATATCTTTATTTATTTATTACCTTCCCACTTTTCAAGAGAGCGTACGTGTGTGTGTGTGTGTGTGTGAGAGAGAGAGAGAGAGAGAGAGAGA